AGAGACAGAGAGAGAGAGATGAAGTCCACAAGTCATAAAAGAGCCAAGGTTGCCTACCCCTGGCCTAGACCTAGACCCTGCTCAGCTCCCTCGGATTTCACGAGCTGCTTATCCTTACTCAGATGGAAAAAAAACAAGAGATAAAGGGGGGAAAGCATGAAATTGCCCCCTTTGCTCCTCTGCAAGCAGACTGGAAGGAACAAGAGACGGTCAGGCATCCTCGGGGTACACCTGACTTAAGTGTCCATTTTGGTTCTTAGGGGAAGTCAACTTCACAATAACTGCAGAGGCCCTGAAATCCACCCAGCTCTGTGGCAATGAAATCGCGGAAGTGCCTCCCAAAGGACAAAGGGACATTGTGATCAAAACCCTCTTGGTCGAGGTACGTACGGGCTGCTTTCACGTGTGGGGGCGGGCAAGGGTGGACTAAGAGTAACGAAATATTAAAGTCAGAGTAACGTCGAGGGTGAAGGTTCGTTCTCCGAGCTTGTGGGTTTGTTTAGGCTGCTAGGTAACCTCTTCAGAGTAATGTTTCCCAGTAAATTGAGGCCTAGGGCAGGGGTTGGCCACCTTGGCTCTTTTATGACGCGTGGACTTCAACTCCCAGAATTCCTGAGCCTTCCATGCTGAGGGGAAAGGGAGAGGTTTCCAAGCTGAGCCAGGCTGACTCAGGAATTCTGGGAGTTGAAGTCCACGAGTCATCAAAGAGCCAAGGTTGCCTACCCCTGGCCTAGGGTTTTCTTGGTGACAGCGTAAGAGTGGTTGGCGGTCACTTCCTTTCAGAAGGATTTTTCACTTCTCTCTCTCTCCATCCTACAACCTTTTGCCTTCCTTTGACTCTCCCATCCAAGTCGAAAGCGGGTCCAACCCGGCCTAGTTTGCTGGCACCCGTCCAGTTCAGCTGACTCGGTGTTTCTCAAACTGAGCAACTTTTTAAGCTGAACGGACTTCAACTCCCAGAATTCCCAGCTAGCATTCACCGGAGTCCTTAAAGTTGCTGAGGTGAGAAACCCTGAGCGAGATGCTACCTCGGTGGACCCATGACTTTAAAGGAGATTTAAAAAAACAAACCAACCCAGTTATCCCTTGCCTGGCACCTGGGAGGCAACTACAGGCAATCCACAATTTGCGATCATTCATTCGAAATCACGATGGCACTGAAATGCCTGGTCCTCACACTTATGACCATCATGGCGTCACGTTGTCAGAAACGTGCGTGCTTGGCAGCGTGCGTGTATTTATGACAGCTGCAGCATCCTGGGGGGTCATAGGATCTCCATTTGCAGCCTTCCCAGCCAGCTTCTGATAGGCAAAGTCAATGGGGGAAGCTGGATTCACTTAACAACGGTGTAATTCACTTAACAGCCAGGATGATTCATTTAACTGTGGGGGGAGGGGGGAGTCATAAAATCAGATGCAACTCACTTAGCAACCGTTTTGCTTAGCAATGGAAGTCCCAATCCCAATTGTAATTAATCGAGGTAATTAATGAACCCTTCACAAGAGACTAAGAAAATGACTGCGTGTATTTTTAAAAACAAAATCAGACATTAGGAAGCAGGAAGGTACAGGATCAGGGAATGGAAAGGGCTTGTCTGGGCCATCCTGTCCAACACCCTGTAAGATTAAAGCCTTTCCTATTTCTGTTAAATTTCATTCTGTGATTTCTCAGCGCCCGTTTTTGTCCATCAAGGTCATTTTACTTCAGGGATAGGTGCTTGGTGTCACACCTAATTTTATATCCTCTGCAAATCCTACTGACGTGAACGTTCTCTCCACTCTTCCATTCAAAACATTAACCGGAGTACTGAATTTACATTGTTATTGTTAGCTGCGAAGTCGTGTCCGACCCATCGTGACTCCATGGACAACGTTCCTCCAGGCCTTCCTGTCCTCTACCATCTTCTGGAGTCCATTTAAGCTCAGGCCTACTGCTTCAGTGACTCCGTCCAGCCACCTCCTTCTCTGTCGTCCCCTTCTTCTATTGCCCTCAGTCTTTCCCAGCATTAGGCTCTTCTCCAGTGAGTCCTTCCTTCTCATTAGGTGGCCAAAGTACTTGAGTTTCAACTTCAGGATCTGGCCTTCTAAAGAGCAGTCAGGGTTGATCTCCTCTAGGACTGACCAGTTTAATCGCCTTGCAGTTCGGGGGACTCCCAGGAGTCTTCTCCAGCACCATAGTTCAAAGGCCTCCCTCAATTCTTTGGCGCTCAGCCTTTCTTATGGTCCAACTTTCACAGCCATACATTGCAACTGGGAAAACCATGGCCTTGACTATAAGCACTTTTGTTGGCAGGGTGACGTCTCTGCTTTTTTAGTATGCTGTCTAGATTTGCCATAGCTTTCCTCCCCAGGAGCACTGAATTTATAGATACATATAATCTACACTCAGCTTCAGTGTCCCTCAAAATGGTATCCCAACTTGGCACCGCTGCTTCCTTCTTCTTCTTTTTTTCCACCCTCCACACCTGCATTTTCTTGTGGGTTCAAACGCTGTCTGTCTGTCTCTCCCAATATTGTATTCCTTGCAGCAACATCACAGTTCCTCCTCTACCCAGCTCTCATCAGCACAGGAGATTTTTTTAAAAAAAATTCAGATGATAACTGAAGAACTTTTAAAACTATCTAACGTTCACTTTCTTCTTCTCTTATCGTAAAGCCTGAAGGAATCGAGAAGGAAGTGGTGATCAACAATCTGCTCTGTGGAAACAGTAAGTATCGACCAGCAGCCCCCACTTTCTGCAATATTCCTTCCACAATTAATGCACAAAGTCAGCTCCAAAGTGAGTTCGGCCTTCTCTGGGCTCCAAACGTGTTGGAATACAAATCTCATCGTCCTCAGCCCACATGGATTATTGTGGATTAGAGGGACGGGGACTGAGTCCCTGCTCAGCTAGAGGGTGCCGAATTGGGAATGGTTGAATAAAGTAACGGATACTTATTTATCCAGCCACACGACGAGAGAGTCACATAATCTTCCACACCTGGTTACTGAACTGGCTGTTTTCCAGGTGTAAATCAGGATGCTCACTATGATGTATAAAGCTTTGCCCGTCGTCTCAAGGGTCCTTTTTTCTGGACATTTTTTTTCCTTCAGGAAGGAGAATACGTGTCGCTTCTCATCCAAGAAGCTTCATCAATTCTGAGTGGATTGTGGTGGTGGGGGGCATGGAAGGAATAAGATCTAAATCCTTCCATCACCCCATCACCCAGTTAGAACTGATGAAGCTTCTTGGACGAGAAGTGACATATCTTCAAAGAAAAATAAAGTCCAGTTGCTTTTTGAAAAAACACCTTTGAGTCATCTACTGTGTGACTGAAAATCTCCAAAGACATAAAGCTTTGCCAGCTTAAGCTGTAATTGATCCCCTATGTTTAATTTTTCCCCTAAGGCACCTCAACATATTAAACAGGTACTTAATTGCCTGGCAGGTTCGGTCCATGAAATAATGTGATCCAATAATAATTACAAGGTAGCTTAAAAAAATCTACCTTTTAGCCAAGTCTTTAGAGCTTTTCCTGCTGGAAATTTCGGGCCAAAACTGAACCTGTGATCACCGTGTTCTCTAGAACTGATCGCCTCTAATCCTAATTAGCATTTCACAACCGCAGGAAAGTTATCCCATCCTTGCAATGACGATTTTTAAAAACCCATTTAAAAATGGATTAATGGTCCTCTACAACAGGGGTCCTCAACCCCGATCCGTGGACCAGTACCGGACCGCAGCATGCCAGCAACCGGTCCGCACAAACAAGCAAAGCCCCATCCACGGGATGCAGGCAGCACGCAAAACCACGCCCCCTCCGGTCCGCGGAAAAACCTCTTTCCACGTAACCGGTCCCTGGTGCCCAAAAGGTTGGGGACCCCTGCTCTACAATACATTGATGTTTCTCCAAAACAGCAACTTTAAGACATATGTACTCCAACTCCCAGAATTCCCTAACCAGCCTAAGTCCACATGTCTTACTTGCCAAATTTGAGAAATGCTGCTCTATAGTATGATCCTTACATTTACACTTATTATGTATCCTCCCTGGTTCAGCTGACAGAAGTGAGGAGAGCCTGTGGCCTAGAGCAGTGATGGCAAACCTTTTAGAGACCGAGTGCCCAAAAACTGCCCCCGCCCCAGCTGGAGAGGAGGGGTTCACGGGGGGAGGCGAGGCTGGGGCAATGGCATGTGTGCCCACAGAGAGGGCTCCAAGTGCCGCCTCTGGCACCCGTGCCATAAGTTCGCTACCACTGGCCTAGAGGTTAATATAGCTTCCTAACATGCAAGCGGCCCAGATTCGAATCTCAGAAGGGTGGTATGGCTAGCGGATGAGAGCTAAATAGCTCGAAATAGCTATACTAGTCTCCCTTTAACTCTTTGTCAGAGGTTAATATAGCTGCCTAACATGCAAGCGGCCCAGGTTCGAATCTCAGAAGGGTGGTATCGCTAGCTGATGAGAACTAAATAGCTCGAAATAGCTATACTAGTCTCCCTCTAACTCTTTGTCAGCAAAAGATACATATAGAATAGGGGTGGGAAAACGTGCAGCCTTAGACCTACAGGTGGGTCCTAGAGCCTGTGAAAAGGAGAGGCCAATTCTTAAATATCTCCATGCATTGGATTAAATAACGGGCAGAGACAGCAGGAAGTGAAAAGGGTTAACAGTACCAAGAACCAAGAGGCTCAATCCGGACTCTCTCTTTTTTTTTCCCCTTCTCCTCGTTTCTCGCAGAAGGCAGCCCATCCGCAACTATTTCCCTAAAGGTCCCAGAGAACGTTGTGGAGAAATCGGCAAGAGCTTTCTTCTCTGTGTTGGGTAAGTGACGCGCTATTGCAAGAATCTGCTTGCAGCTAAAGGTTTCCCCGTCCAGTCACGTCCAACTCGAGGGGGCGGTGCTCATTTCCGTTTCTTAGCCAAGGGAAAAAAGCGTTGTAGGAAGACCCTTTCCGTGGGTCATGTGACCAGCACGACTATATGCTGAGGCACACGGAACACCGTTCCCTCCCCTCTGAAGTGGTACCTATTTATCTACTCGCACTTGCATGCTTTCAGACTACTAGGTGGGCAGGGGTGTCAAACTCAATTTCACTGAGGGCCGCATCAGCATTGCGGTTGCCCTGGGGGGGCTGGGGTGTGTGGCCAGAGTGAGTGCAGCCTACTGGGTGGGCGTGGACGGACTGGGTGTGGCCTAATGGGTGGGCGTGGCCAGTTCTACATCATTCGTGTCAAGGGTGCCTATGGGGGCTTGGGCAACAGTGGGACAGATCTGAGGGTCTCTAGCAGAAGGGGGTGGGACCGGGGCAAGTGCCAAGGCATGGTCCACCGGGGCAAATGCCAAGATGGCCACCACAAAATTGTATATTGGCTCCCGGCTGGCCTGGGCCAGGGCCAAGGCAGCGGGGGCCGTTCCCTCACTGTTTCCAGGATGGCTTCGCGGGCCACATGAAACCACTTCGCGGGCCGCATCCGGCCCCCGGGCCTTGTGTTTGACATGTCTATTCTAGAGTCTCAACATCTTTTTTTCATTTTTACTGGATGCAGTATCCCAAGCGTGGCCTTCCCAAGGCATTGTAAAGTGGCATTACCACTTCACGTGGTCTTGATTCGATCCCTCTGTGAGATGCAGCCTAGCACCGTGTTGGCTTTTTTTGGCCGCTGCAGCAAACAGCTGGCTCCTATTTAAACTCTTGATACCTGTTGTATCTTTCTTGCCTGCCACAGGTGACATCTTAAGCTCGGCCATCCAGAACGTGCAGCAGCTTATCCGGTTGCCCTCTGGCTGCGGGGAGCAGAACATGGCCCTCTTGGCCCCCAACGTTTACATCTTGGACTATCTGAACGCAACAGACCAGCTGAACGACGAAATCAAGTCGAAGACGATTGGCTACTTAGTGGCTGGTAAGAGGATTCACGGAGTTCTGCAGAAGGACCTCTTAACTTCTTTTCCTTGGAGGGAGGAAGAACAAGAGGAATTTATTTGTTTGTTTGTTTGCATTAGTTTGTTTGCATTTGTTTGCCGCCCGTCTTGCCTCAAGGCAACTCTCAAGGAATTGACTGACAAGATTAATAATCAGGCCCTAATACAAGGGTAGGCCACCTTGGCTCTTTTATGACTCGTGGACTTCAACTCCCAGAATTCCTGAACTAGCCATGCTGAGGGGAAAGGGAGAGTTTTCCAAGCTGAGCCATGCTGGCTCAGGAATTCTGGGAGTTGAAGTCCACGAGTCATAAAAGAGCCAAGGTGGCCTACCCCTGGCCTAATAGAAAGGATCAATACAGTAATCAAATAATGTATGTCTGCTAATTTTACTGGAAACGTGACCTTAACTGAGTGATCAGCAAACCATCAATTATATTAATTTATAGTGGTCAATTCTGATCGTTGTAGTTTCAGTTTCAGGCCATGGCTGCTTATCTTTTGAACCTATTTTCCATTTCGTTCTAAAATGGAGAATGAAAAAAAGATAATAATGGTAATTTTCCCTTTTTATTTAAGAGGGATATTTCTATTTAATAAATATTTTATCTTACCACGCAGAAGGCATCTCTGTTGTCATGAGTGAGTCTTCTACTGTAACTGCAATCTTTAGTTCCCTCAAGTTCTCTCTCCCAATTTTTAAAGTTTTATTGTGTTTTTTTAAAGAATTCAAAACAAAAAGCATTTTCCCATGGGAAGGATCCTTTATAACTAATTCCAAAATCTTATTTCAGATTTATCTCAACCCCTACTCCAGGGGTAAGCAACCTTGGCTCTTTTATGACTTGTGGACTTCAACTCCCAGAATTCCTGAGCCAGCCATGCTGAGGGGAAAGGGAGAGGTTGCCAAGCTGAGCCATGCTGGCTCAGGAATTCTGGGAGTTGAAGTCCACGAGTCATAAAAGAGCCCAGGTTGCCTACCCCTGGCCTAGTCTATTGGCAGCTTTCTAAAATCCAAGTTTTAATTAATAAAAAGTTCTTTCGCTGAGGATTGAAGGAAGCTCACCGTGTGTTTTCGGACCTGTCAATCCGAAGGTTCCTAATATGGGTAGTCCTCAACTGATGACTACAATTGAGCCCAAAGTTTCTGTCGCTAAGCAAGACAGAGGTTAACTGAATTTTGCCCCATTTTGTGAACTTTCTTGCCACAGTTAGTAACCCGGTTAAGTGAATCTGGCTTCCCCATTGACTTTGCTTGTCAGAAGCTCGCAAAAGGGGATCACGTGACCCCGGGACACGGCAACCGTAGTAAATATGAACCAGTTGCCAAGCGTCCAAATTTTGATCACGTGACCACGGGGACGCTGCAACTTCATAAGGGTGAAAAATGGTCATAAGTTGCTTTTTTCAGTGCCGAATGGTCACTAAATGAATGGCTGTAAGGCAAGGACTATCTGTAGCTAAAAAGCAGTTAACAAGCAATTCCCAAAAGCGATTAGAAAAGGGAGTACATTATATGAACCCAGTATCCTTTAAAGATGCTGACCATAGTTTCAGCGTTCCCTTATTGCCTAGAGCAGGGCTCCTCAAACTTGGCCCCTTTTATGACTTGTGGACTTAAATTCCCAGAATTCCTCAGCCAGTCTACGCTGGCTGAGGGATTCTGGGAATTGAAGTCCACAAGTCATAACAGGGCCAGGTTTGAAGACCCCTGTCCTAGAGCTTTAAACCGGACGGAGACCACTGTCTTGTGGTCTCTTCGCAAGGAGCAACTGTCTGGATCACTTGTGGGCGATCTCAAGTCTTCCCCCTTGCCAGAGAAGAAGAATTATCGAAAAGCCAGTCTACCTTCGGGGCAGTTATCGGTTCTGCATTTTGCTGAGCCATCTTCAATCTGCCATTTCTTCCTCAGAAGTCTGGGCACGGTCACCTTTTAAACAACAATTTAGCACTTAAACTTATAAACCACTCCGTAGTGCTTCACAGCCCTCTCTGGGCGGTTTACACTGTAGAAACGTGATCTGCATATTTGCCCCCAACAATCTGGGTCCTCATTTTACCGACTTCGGAAGGATGGAAGGCTGAGTCAACCTTGAGTCGGTCAGGATCGAGCTGCTGGCAGTCGGCAGAGTTAGCCTGCAATACTACACTTTAACCACCAGAGCTCAGGGATAGGAGTCCGCCAAAAAGTCCCAAGCTAGACTCGGAGGTCGGTAAACAGTTCCAGAAGAAGGCAACGACAAAACAATTTCTGTAATGTCAAATCGCAAACATGGAGGCCTTTGCAGGGTCACCAAGTTGTGAGCTTTGACTCAAGTAAGGCCTCACCGTTTACTTGAATAAGTACAACCTAACATTCCTCCTCCATTGCAGGCTACCAGAGACAGTTGAACTACAAGCATGCTGATGGTTCCTACAGCACCTTTGGGGAGCGTAACAACGAGCCTGGAAATGTCTGGTAAGGTTCACAGCGTTAGCCTCTGTGGTTGTCCCTGCAGGTTTGCATGTGTGTGTGCCTGCAGAAAATAGATTTCTCACCTTTGCCAGTATCGTTCGCAAGGCAAGGATTTTCCTGCCTACAGGGGAAGCTATTGTGGGCAGGAATAGCAGCAGACCAGTGAAATGCTGGTATGGGTATGGCTAGTCTAGAGAAAAGAAGGACCGGGGGTGACATGATAGGAGTGTTCCAGTATTGGAGGGGCTGCCACAAAGAAGAGGGGGTCAACTTATTTTGCAACAGTTATTAAGCGAGACATCACGTGATTGTGATTTCTGATTGTCCCTTTAATAATAATAATTATTATTATTGTTATTATTATTGTTGTTGTTATTATTATTATTATTATTTTAAGGAGATACCCGGTTGATGCCTAGGATGCTGGTAGCAACCCGTGTCAACCATCAGCGCCAGCCAATTTGAATGTTCAGTTGACTGAGGTTCATGTTTAATGAATAAAAGATAATAATAATAATAATAATAATAATAATAATAATAATAATAATAATAATAATAATAATAATAATAATAATAATAAAGTTGGAACGGACCTTGGAGGTCATTGAGTCCAACCCCCTGCTCAGGCAGGAAACGCTATACCATTTCGGACAAATGGCTGTCCAGTCTCTTCTTAAAAACTTCCAGTGTTGGAGCATTCACCACTTCTGGAGGCAGGTTGTTCCACTGGTTAATTGTTCTAATTGTCAGGAAGTTTCTCCTTAGTTCTAGGTTGCTTCTCTCCTTGGTTAGTTTCCATCCATTGCTTCTTGTCCTGCCTTCAGGCGCTTTGGAGAATAGCTTGACTCCCTCTTGTTTGTGGCAGCCCCTGAGATACTGGAACTCTGCTATCATGTCCTTCCTCGTCCTTCTCTTCATTAAACTAGACATACCCAATTCCAGCAACCGTTCCTCATATATTTTAGCCTCCAGTCCCCTGATCATCTTAGTTGCTCTTCTCTGTACTCTTTCTAGAGTCTCAACATCTTTTTTACATCGTGGTGACCAAAACTGGATGCAGTATTCCAAGTGTGGCCTTACCAAGGCATTGTAAAGTGGTATTAATATTTCCTGTTGGCTTCCAACCAGCAAAGTCAATGGGGAAGCCAAAGGAAGAAAAAAAAATCACAAAACACAGCCGTGTGATGTCTCCCATTAAGAACCATGCCACTTAATGACAACTTTTCCAATCCCAATTGTAGTCATAAGTCAAGGACTAGCTAGCTGATTACATCTGGCCAGGAGCAGAATCAAGTTGGGAGGAACCAAGAGTGAATTTGTGGCTGAAAGTATCTTGGGTTCTGTTTTAGTTCTGCTCAGGATTATTCTATCCCTTTTTCTCTGTTTCTTTCATCGCTTTTTCTTTCTTTTTAACCTCAGCTGGTAGATTGGGGGAGGGGCTCTAGGACAAGGCTTTTCAACCAGTGGTATGGGTAGCACCTGTGGTACATTGGCACCTGGCAGGTGGTACGCGACCATCCTAGAAAAGTGATAGTGGGGGAGAGGAATGAGCTGAATTGGTGGCAGCACCGCACAAGCCTGAGCGAGAGATGGCTGGAGCTGCAGGGCTGTCAGGGCTCAGCGGAAGCGCCAGGATCAGCGCCAGGCTCCAGCTGGAGCTCAGCACTGATCCTGGTGCTTCTGCTGAGCCCAGAAGAAGCACCAATCAGCTGGAAAGCAGCACTGATCCTGATGCTTCTGCTGAGCCCAGAAGAAGCGCCGATCAGCTGGAATGTTGCAGCATCTCCAGGATCTTGTGATTTACATTCAGATGCTTGGCAACTGATTCATATTTATGACGGTCACAGTGTCCCAGGGTCATGTGAAGTGACCAAAACCTTCTGCAACCACCCAGCAGATGGGGGAAATAAAAACCAAACACCCCCTCACCCCACCCCCATTGCCAATCCTCAACAGAAATGCTCACAACATTGAAAACCTCGGACAAGAGGAAGAACGCGGCCGGGTGGGCAGGCAGGTGTCTTGCTCAGCTGTGGCTTGGGGGGCACTTTTTCAGTGCCATTGTAACTTCAAACAGTCACTAAGCGAACTGTTGTAAGTCGAGGACTACCTGTTCTTTATCACTTTTTCCCTTTTTTTTTTTGGTCATCAAGTTTTTGACACCTTGCTAGGCGACTGGTGGTACTCGGATATTGCCATATCCTAAAAGTGGTACAATGGGTGAAAAGGTTGAAAAGCCCTGCTCTAGGAAAAGCATGTTTCCAGAATCAACCCTGAAAGCTGTAAAAGAGGTTGTAAATGAAAAACAAATTAATGGGGTTTTGCTGCCTTGCANTTTCTCAAATGAAGAGATACATCCCTGTGGAGGAACGTCACCTGATCGAAGCTCAGAACTTTTTGGCTTTAAAGCAAAAATCAAATGGCTGCTTCCAAGTCACCGGGACCCTCCTGAACAATGCGCTAAAGGTACAGGAAAGCCAGCAGCGAGAGGTCAGCGTAGCCGTCACTAAAGAACACAAGGGGCTAGCCCAGGGGTAGGCCACCTTGGCTCTCTTATGACTTGTGGACTTCAACTCCCAGAATTCCTGAGCCAGCCATGCTGAGGGGAAAGAGGGAGGTTTCCAAGCTGAGCCATGCTGGCTCAGGAATTCTGGGAGTTGAAGTCCACGAGTCATAAAAGAGCCAAGGTTGCCAACCCCTGGGCTAGACTAGCTAACCTATGGATTTGAGGGCTGAGCCATTTCGCCGAACAATGGGATCAGCAGTGGCATTTGATAGCAGAGTGGCGGCTATCTGGCCCTTGTTTTGGATAAAAGGGGACCTTCAAGTGACCTCTTGACCGGTTGGGGTACGATCAGGTAGGAAGATAAGAAGAAAGGGTGGTGGTTATCTGGGGACGATGGCAACTGTAGTCAGATTTATCCGGAGGAAACTAGGCAAAGATTCTCCATTACAGATGGAGAAAGATATATGGGAGATGCAGTACAGAATTGAATCAGGGACTCTTTACATGTAAATCAACAGGAGCCACAAAGATGCTTTTTCAAAAGGCAACTGGGCTTTCTTGGTTTTCCTCCTTTGAAAGACCTTTCACTTCTCATCCAAGAAGCTTCCTCAGTTCTGAAGAACTGAAGAAGCTTCTTGGATGAGAAGTGAAATCTTTTCAAAGGGGGAAAAAAAACAAACCAAGAAGGGTTTTTTTGCCTTGTGGGAAGAAAAATCAGGTCTGGTTCCAAGCCAGGGGAGAAAGACACTGAAAACAAAATGGAGGCTGCAGGAAAGAAGCTCTCTGTTTATTTGGTAGCCAGAAACTAAAATGGCAGCAGCATATTTCTGAGGTGGCTGACCAATTAGGATTTTTGTACAGTTTGCAGCATTTTGTAATTTTGAGGCTTGCTTTGTGTGCTTTTATTGTTTGATTGGCGGGAGAGAGAAGTGGATTATAGATGAAAAGAAGATGAGAAAGAGAAAACAAAGAAGGGAGGGAAGAAGGAAGGAAGGAAGGAAGGAAGGAAGGGAAAGGAAGAAAGGGAGGGAGGAAGAAAAAGAAAAAGAAAGAGAGAAACAGAGAGAAAGAAAGAGAGAGAGAGAGAGAGGAAATTAAGAGAGACAAAAGAGAATCAGGGAAGGGAATGGAAGGGAAGAAAAGCCTTGTTTCACAAAGGCTTGTGATGGGTCTTACTTATCGGCTTCCCTTGGTCTTAATCCCGTCAAGCAAATGTAATTGATTTTATCCTGTTATCTTTAGTCTGTTGCCTTTAGTGGTGCCTTCTTTAGTGAATAGGCAGGCTTGAGTCAATGTTTCCGCTTTTCTCAGTGACTGGGGTTACTCAAACTCACGAGTGAAACATTGTTTCTGTGTTTAACTTTTCCTGAGCTTTATTCTTGTGATTTGGGAGGCATTAGTGAAACAGGATTGGGGGTGGCGGTGCGTTCTTACCACAGGCTTTTGGAAAAAGTACCCCTTGGGACAACCAGGACCTGAATGATGTAGAACAGGGGTATTCAAACTTGACCCTTTTCTGACTTGTGGACTTCAACTCCCAGAATTCCTCAGCCAGCGTGCCTGGCTGAGGAATTCTGGGAGTTGAAGTCCACAAATCATAAAAAGGGCCCAGTTTTGAAAACCCCCGATTTAAAATCTCCATAGACAACCTGAGCAGCACCTCTCCCAATTTTGTGCATCATATGGTCCTAAAGGTGATTTGACCTTCGCCTGCCTGAAGCACCCTTGAAATTAGTAGGCTACAGATCCCAGAATTCCCAAGCAACGTGTACATCAGTGAGAATTCTGAGAACTGAAGTCCACGTATCTGGAGGTTGGGAAAAGCTGCTCGGGGAGATGGGAGCTGCCCTTTCTGTAGTTATGGCTGCATCCTATTTTCTTCCTTACAGGGCGGAGTTGATGATGAGGCCACTTTGTCAGCCTACATCGCCATCGCTTTGCTGGAGATGTCCTTGCCCGTCACGGTAAGAAGCCATCTTCACCTCCCACAGACGCCATTTAGCACTTTATCTCTTCAAGAAAGCTCCCTACGAAGCCGATTGCCCCTGAGCATAATAAAAGTCAAGATGCTCTCAGTTGAGTTTCATCGACTGCATCCAAGTCGGAGCTCTGCAACTGCCATCTTGGCCACACCACCTCAAGTTCAGTTCGTTTTTCCATTTTGATCTAACACAGAGGTGGGGGAACGATGGCCCCTTGATGACTCGTGGACTTCAACTCCCAGAATTCCTGAGCCAGCCATTACGGCTCAGCCATGGCTGGCTTAGGAATTCTGGGAGTTGAAGTCCACGAGTCATCAAGGGGCCATCGTCCCCCATCCTTGATCTAAAACGTGAAGGGTAATTTATGCAATTACCATGGAATTTATCTACCGTACTAGACTATACAGAGCCTACTCTACAGGTAGTCCTTGACTTACAACCACAACTGACTCTGACATTTCTTTTGCTAAGCAAGACAGTTGTTAAGGGGGTTTCGCCCCATTTTACGTGCTTTGTTGCCAGGGTTGTTAAGCGAACGCAGTTGTTAAGTTAGTAACACGCTTGTTAAGCGAGTCTGGCCTTCCCATTGACTTGGCTTGTCAGAAGGTCGCTAAAGGGGATCACATGACCAGTGCAACCATCATAAATATGAAACAGATAAGAGTCCAAATTTGGTCACGTGACCATGGGGATGCTGTAACGATTGTTAAGTGTGAAAAATGGTCATAAGTCACTTGTTTTTAGGGCCAGTGTAACTTTGAACGGTGTCAGGGCCCACTTCAAAACCTCATCCTAAGAAAGCAGAACTCATGGAAGCAGTTTCTTCCCAAAAGGAACTTTTATTAGGAGAAGCTGACAGCAGGCATAGTAGACAGGATCCGAGGGTTTCCCCGCTCAGGTCAATAGGTTAAAAGTGCCCCGAGCAAAACCCTACCCCATAGTTCAGGGGTAGGCCACCTTGGCTCTTTTATGACTCGTGGACTTCAACTCCCAGAATTCCTGAGCCAGCCATGCTGAGGGGAAAGGGAGAGGTTTCCAAGTTGAGCCAGGCTGGCTCAAGAATTCTGGGAGTTGAAGTCCACGAGTCATAAAAGAGCCAAGGTTGCCTACCCCTGCTGTAGTTCATCCAGTCAGTTCACATGGGCCAATCCCCAGGTGTTAAGTCCGTTGTGGGAAAGAGTTGATAACGGCCGGGCTGTCTCAGGGTTTCAGCAATGTCTTGTCGGCTTTTTGCACCTTCCCTTCCCAACGCAGGAGATAAACCCTTTGCCGAAGGCGCATTCCATTCTCCTCCCCCTTCTCTAGCTGACATCAAGGGGAGAGATAGTAAGCAGAAACAGCGAAGGGTTACAATATAGCTCCGTGGTGGCGAACCTATGGCACGGGTGCCAGAGGCAGCACGCAGAGCCCTCTCTGTGGGCACGTGCGCCGTCGCCTTAGTCCTAGGCCTTCAGCTGGGTTTTATAAAACCGTTTCGCTTTGGGCCTCGGCCGCCGTGTCCCAAAAATAAAAAAAAAGTTTCAATCAATCAATCGAATTCAACTTCTCGCGGGGAAAAAAACAGACCTTGCAAAGTTGGAATTGATTGATCGAACTTTTTAGTCCCACCCAGTGTGCCATTACCACCGCAGCCACGCCCACCCAATGGGCCACGCCCACCCGGCACCCGACAATACATAAGTGGGTTTTGGGTTGCAGTTTGGGCACTCGGTCTCTAAAAGGTTCGCCGTCGCTGATCTGGGTCCTCATTTCAGCGACCTCGGAAAGAGGGAAGTCTGAGTCAACCTTGAGCCGGTCAGGATTGAACTCCTGGCATTCGGCAGAGTTAGCCTGCAGTACTGCTTTCTAACCACTGGGCCACCACGGCTCATAGCAGTTCAGATCTCACCAACCCTATACAAATGACAGAGACGCTCTAGATCCGGAGTCCCCAATCCCTGGGCATCGGTCTGTGGCATGCCAGAAACCGGGCCAAGATGCAGGCAGTGCACAAAACTACGCCCTCTCTGGTCCACGGGAAAAACCTCTCTCTATTGAAACCGGTCCCTGGGGCCCCAAAGTTGGGGGGGGGTCACTGCTCTAGAATGAACCCCTTCCTCTTTTCTCCCTGCAGCATTCTATGGTGCGAAATGCTTTGTTTTGCCTGGAGACCGCCTCCCAGCAGAAAGACATCCCCGTGTACAACCTGGCCTTGTTGGGCTATGCTTTTGCGTTGGCTCACAAACAGGACAAGGTGGCAGAAATACTCCACACCCTTCAAGAAAAGGCTGTGAAAGGAGGTAAGAAGAAAGAAAAAAAAAACATTTGCGGGAGAAGCGTGTGGATTTACCTCTAGGACCAGCCCAAGAGATGAATGAATGAATGAACGAACCTTTTATTGTGAAAGTATAACATGTATACAGTGAAATTGGCTGAGCCTCCCTCCATGCCCCCCCCACAACTCACAGTGACTACAAACCCCCACCTTATTACACCCTGTGAGCCAGTGGTGGCAAACCTATGGCACGTGTGCCAGAGGCGGCACTCGGAGCCCTCTCTGTGGGCACGCGTGCCGTGCCCCTGAGATGACAACTGACCCTCTTCAACCAGATGTCCGCTAACTTGCGGAGATCCCACATGGCCAGATGCATCCCAGCACAGCTGGTTTCCCTCCCCCCCCCCCGTCCCATCCCTCCTGGCCTCGCATGCTCTCCTTTTCCCCGGCACGACCCACTGCATCGCCTCCTCAGTTGTTGGTCAGCCGTCCAGCTCAGAGCCGGCTTCTCTGAACTACTGGCAGTGGGCTGCGGAGCCCCAGAGTGCGCCGGTCGAGAGGCCGGCAGGCTGTGGCTGCTGACGGACGCTGTCGGTCCCCATGCGCTCACTGGAATCTGTGCGTGGGGGCCGATGGTGTCAGGCAGCAGCCGCCCCAGCCCCTGCCTCACCTTGCCCTGCGACAATGGCATCCCCGCTCTGCCTCGCCTCACCTCACCCCGCAGGACTCCTGCCCACCGCCCCGCCTGCCAGAGACACCCTGGATCTCCCCCAACCCTGCCCAGCCCCCACAGGCGTCCCTCCCCACAAGCAATATCGAGGTGACCACCCGCACTTGGCCACACCCACCCAGGGGGCCACGCCCACCTGGCACCCGGCAGTTTGGGCACTCGGGTCTCTAAAACGTTCGCCATCACCGCTGTGAGCTAATTGCACAGCACACCGGCCTCACGAGTCTGTCGTGCATAAAATTATGTCCCATTCAGAAGCCTGACGGCCCATGGATAAAAGCTGTTCTTCAGCCTGTTGGTACAGCTGGCTATATTTCTGTATCTCCTACCCGATGGTAGGAGAGTAAAAGGGTACCAACCAGAGTGTGAGTCATCCCTGAGAATTTTCCTCACTCTACCAAGGCAACGGGCCCTGGCGATGTCATCCAGTGGTGTCAGGGAACAGCCCTCGATATCTTGTGCCGTGCTCACCACCCTCTGTAGTACCTTCCCGTCCGCGGCTGTCAAGCCAGCACACCAAACCGCAATACAGTATGTGAGAACGCTTTCAATAGTAGACCGGTAGAAGAAGGTCACGAGTCGTCGTGGGCCAAGAGGACGTTTGTCCCTCCAGAAGATGCAGATGACTTTGTTTTACTACGGGCCAAAATTTCTCTTGCTAAGCCAGATAGGGTATATGTTGAGTTTTGCCCCATTTTACGACCTTGCTTGCCACGGTTGTTAAGCGGCAAGTCACATGGTTAGGTCAAGTGGCTTCCCCATGGACTTTGCTTGTCGGAAGATCGCAAAAGGGGATCATATGACTCCTGGACAGGGCAACTGTCATAGTAGTAACTGTGAGAGGGACCTCGGAGTCCTAGTGGACAATCACCTAAATATGAGCCAGCCGTGTGCTGCAGCTGCCAAAAAGGCCAACACAGTGCTAGGCTGCATTAACAGAGGGATAGAATCAAGATCACGTGAAGTGTATTAATACCACTTTACAATGCCTTGGTAAGGCCACACTTGGAATACTGCATCCAGTTTTGGTCACCACAATGTAAAAAAGATGTTGAGACTCTAGAAAGAGTACACAGAAGAGCAACAAAGATGATTAGGGGACTGAAGGCCAAAGCATATAAGGAAAGGCTGCTGGAATTGGGTATGTCTAGTTTAATGAAGAGAAGGACGAGGGGGGACATGATAGCCGTGTTCCAGTATCTCAGGGGCTGCCACAAAGAAGAGGGAGTCAAGCTGTTCTCCAAAGCGCCTGAAGGCAGGACAAGAAGCAATGGGTGGAAACTAATCAAGGAGAGAAGCAACCTGGAATTAAGGAGAAACTTCCTGACAGTTAGAACAATTAACCAGTGGAACAACCTGCCTCCAGAAGCTGTGAATGCTCCAACACTGGAAGTTTTTAAGAAGAGACTGCACGGCCATTTGTCCGAAATGGTATAGGGCAGTGATGGCGAACCTTTTAGAGACCGAGTGCCCAAACTGCAACCCAAAACCCACTTATGCATCATCGGGTGCCGGGTGGGCGTGGCCCATTGGGTGGGCGTGGCTGCGGTTGTAACGGCAGACTGGGTGGGACTAAAAAGTTCAATCAATCAATTCCAACTTTGCAAGATCTTTTTTTTTCCCACGAGAAGTTGAAATTGACTGATTGATTGAACCTTTTTTTTTTTGTACACGGCGGCAAAGACCTAAAGCGAAAAGGTTTTATAAAACCCAGCTGAAGGCCTAGGACTGGGGCGACGGCGCGCGTGCCCACAGAAAGGGCTCTGAGTGCCGCCTCTGGCACCCGTGCCATAGGTTCACCACCACTGGTATAGGGTTTCCTGCCTGAGCAGGGGGTTGGACTAGATGACCTTCAAGGTCCCTTCCAACTTTATTATTATTATTATTATTATTATTATTATTATTATTATTATTATTATTATTATTATTATTATTATTATTATTATTATTATTAAATACATACCGGTTGTCAAGTGCCCGGATTTGGATGACGTGACACGGGGATGTTGCAACAGTCATAAGAGTGAAAAAATTGGTCATACGTCAGGGCAGTTGTAACTTCCTGAATTTGCAAGTTGTAAGTTGAGGACTGCCAGTAGCCATCTTTGGATGATCTGAACCCAAAGACTTAACTCTCTTTCTTTCTTTTGGGCTCCGCGAAGACGACGGCTCCATTCACTGGGAGAGGCCTGCGAAGCCAGAGGTGAAGCAGCCTTGGTACTACGAGCCCCGAGCTCCTTCAGCAGAGGTGGAAATGACCAGCTACGTGCTCCTTACTCACCTGAAGAGAAGCCCATCACCATCCGAGGAGGATCTGGCAGCGGCCACCAAGATTGTGACGTGGCTTACCAAGCAACAGAATCCTTCTGGAGGATTCTCTTCAACACAGGTTGGTGGCTCCCGTTGGGGTGCTTCGGGGTGGAAGAAGACTTCTATCAGAGAGATGGGGTTCTAAGATGGATTGCAAAACACACTAGTATAGGGGTCCTCAACCTTGGCAACTTTAAAACTTGTGGACCTCAACTCCCAGCTTTGCTGGCTGAGGAATTCTGGGAGCTGAAGTCCACAAGTCTTAAAGTTGCCTGCACTAGTAGTACATGAGGGCCGGGGGGAGCGGGGCCGGGACAGCAGCTGGCATCTTTGGATAAAATGACTCTCCCTTGTCCCACTGCTGCTCTTCCTTGGCCTACTACAGAACAGAACAGAACAGAACAGAATAGAATAGAATCAGAACAGAACAGAATAGTAGAATAGAATAGAACAGAACAGAAGAATAGAAATAGGAATAGGAATAGGAATAGGAATAGGAATAGGAATAGAATAGAATAGAATAGAATAGAATAGAATAGAATAGAATAGAATAGAATAGAAGAACAGAACAGAACAGAACAGAACAGAACAGAACAGAATAGTAGAATAGAATAGAATCGGAATAGAATAGAATAGAATAGAATAGAATAGAATAGAAATAGAAATAGAAATAGAAATAGAAATAGAAATAGAATAGAATAAGAACAGGACAGGATAGGATAGGATAGGATAGAATCAGAATAGAATAGAATAGAATCAGAATAGAATAGAATCGGAATAGCATAGAACAGAATAAGAACAGAATAGAACAGAATAGATTAGAATAGGAATAGAATAGAATAGAATAGAATAGAATAGAATGGAATAGAATAGAATAGAATAGAATGGAATAGAATAGAATCAGAGTTGGAAGGGACCTTGGAGATCATCCAGTCCAACCCCCTGCTCAGGCAGGAAACCCTCTACCATTTCAGACAAGTGGTTGTCCAGTCTCTTCTTAAAAACCTTCCAGTCTTGGAGCATTCACAACTTCCTGATGTGAAGAAAACATGGAGACCATCTTCTGGCTTCCTACCATTGCATAAGAAGGATCTGGGGACCCGGGTGGTCATATTTGTCTTCTTGGGAGAAGAAATCGCCTTGATCTCTTATCTCTCCTCGCAGGACACCGTAGTGGCCCTTCAGGGCCTCGCCTTGTACGCAGCCGCGACTTTCTCCCGCAGCGTGGAGGGCATCAAAGTGGCCTTGAAGTCTGGTGAGAACAGTCTGAAGGAATTCCAAGTAGACAACAGCAACAGGATTCTGCTTCAGACCCACGACCTGCCCAGCGTGCCTGGGGAGTATTCGGCCGTCGTGACCGGGAAAGGTTGCGCCTACATGCAGGTGAGGTTCCTAGGGATCCTTGGGAGAAAAAAGGCGGTGACAGGGCGCAAGGTGACTCCTGTTAGAGAGAAGACGATAACAGAAAAAAAGAGAATGACATAGAAAAATGGGTTCAGTGTCCCCATTCACTTTCAGTTATGGCCACTGCCTACACCAGGGGTGTCAAACTCAATTTCACTGAGGGCCGCTTCAGCATTGCGGTTGCCCTCGGGGGGGTGGGGGGGTGGCCAAGGTGGGTGTGGCCTACTGGTGGGCGTGGATGGAGTGGGTGTGGCCTACTGGTGGGCGTGGATGGAGTGGGTGTGGCCTACTGGGTGGGCATGGCCAGCTCTACATCGTTCGCGTCAAGGGTGCCTGTGGGGGCCTGGGCAGGAGTGGGACAGATCTGAGGGTCTCTGGCAGAAGGGGGTGGGACCGGGGCAAGCGCCAAGGCAATGGTCCATTTCTTCATTCCTCACAAAGGGTGACACCTCCCCAGCATGCACCCAGGGGGCGAGGCCGAAGCGGCAGAGGCTGGTTCCTCGCTGTTTCCAGCCGGTCTTGTGGAGCTAAGACTGAATGCCTTTCAGCATAGATGGCCACCACAAAATTGTACATTGGCTCCCAGCCGGCCTGGGCCAGGTCCAAGGCAGTGGGGGCCGTTCCCTCACTATTTCCAGTATGGCTTCACGGGCCACATGAAACCACTTCGCGGGCCGCATCCGGCCCCCGGGCCTTGTGTTTGACATGTCTGGCCTACACTGGCATGTCACCATCAAAAAAAGTTTTTCTCTCCAATCCAGAGCAAAAAAAAAATAAATGCTCACCCCTGCTTTAAAACTTAATAATAATTTCCTTTTTTACATCGCGGTGACCAAAACTGGATGCAGCATTCCAAGTGTGGCCTTACCAAGGCATTGTAAAGTGGCATTAACACTTCACGTGATCTTGATTCTATTTCTCTGTTAATGCAGCCCAGCACTGTGTTGGCCTTTTTGGCAGCTGCAGCACACGGCTTGCTCATATTTAAGTGATTGTCCACTAGGACTCCCAAGATCCCTCTCACAGTTACTACTATTGAGCAAGGTGCCACCTATTCTGTACTTGTGCATTTGGTTTTTCTTGCCTAAATGTAGAACCTTGCTTTAGGTGTCTGCAAAAAAAGATAAGAAGGCTGGCATCAGGTGGGCCCTCTCAGATGAGGGATTTAGACACATGCTCCCTTCCTGAGAAGATTCTGCTGTCTGTACTAAAACCTGACTTAGCCCGCTTAGGGGGAGGAGGAACATGGAGGACAGCTGCCAAAGAGGATCCCAGTTTGCAGTCAGCAAGTAGCTCTTCCTTTCTCAGACGGTCATCGCTCCCTTCAAAATGTAGGAAGCCGTCCCTGCTACATCGGGAGGCTCTCTGAACTGCTTGAGTGAGGTGGACATGGAGTTGATTGGCCAGAGAGAGAAACTCTCTTCCCACTTTAAAAGGGCAGAGAAAGAGTCCCAAAGGTGCTTTTTCAAAAGGCAACTGGACTTCCTTGTTTTTCCTTGAAGACGTTTCGCTTCTCATCCAAGAAGCTTCTTCGGTTCTGACCGGATGGTGGAGGATGGAAGGATTTGTATTCCCCGCCGTCGTCTGGTCATTCGCACTCTTTCTGAGAGCCGTTGAGGCCTTTCAACAGTTCCAAGAAGATCCCACCACCCATTTGCACTATTCAGGTGACTCTGAGGGCACAGATAAGCCTCCAAGTGGCCTCAGTGGCTCTCCGAAAGAGTGTGAATGAGCAGATGACCACAAGGAATATAAATCTTCCATCCATCCTCCTTCATTCAATCAGAACTGAAGAAGCTTCTTAGATGAGAAGCGAGGGAAAAGACAGTCCAGTTGCCTTCCATGACCTGGAAGACTGAGAATCTCCACAGACATGCAGAGAAAGAGGAACCATAGAGAAACGCGGTCCTATGAGGAGAAAGACCTGGAACGGAAGAAGAGTGGTAACCAAGGAAACTGTTCTATCCCAGCCTATTGCCGTCCTTGTTAGAGGCACAAGGACCAAACCCCTGCTGATACAATAGGCTGGAGACTTTAAAACAAAACAAAATCCCTTTTATTTGGGTGACAAACCTGTCAATAAGTCCAAAACACAAACAGCAAAACTCAAGTCCAAAGGAAGGAAATAGTCCACAGGAACACGTTGCAAACANGACTCATGCTCCTCACACAGCTGAGCTTCATCAGAAACACGACTGGAGGGGCCAGGCTCTTCATCAAGCCGTGAGTCCTGTAATTCATCAGAGCCTCCCTCTGACCCTGACGGCCCCTCAAAGGCCTCCTCCACCTCCTCCTCAGATTCCTCAGACTCAGCTGTTGGGAACACAGGCTGGCACGGAATCACAACAGAAACAGAAAGCAGAAAAGTCCAGCCTTGTTTAAGTAAGAAGGCCCAGGATTCCCTCCTTGCATTCCTAGCATGACACGGTAATGCTGAAGAGCTGCTGCTAATCAGGCGATAGCGCCGACCTCAGTCTGACACGTTCTAAGGTTGTTTTCCTGTTGTTGTTCTTCTACTGTGGACACACATCTGCTTCTCTGGTGGGCTTCCGAGAAGAAAGCAACTTTCAACGGAGAGGAAGAACTGTGGCAGTTGTCTTCCATCAGGTGCACTCCAGAAGTGTCGGCATTCGGCTTCTATTGGCCAACTTGGATGAAAATATTGGAAGCTGAAGGCCGACACATCTGCAGGACATCACACCGGAGAAGGCTGAGCAACGTGGATCTAGGATACGTTGGCACCAGGAGTCCAGGTGGATGGAGCGGTCCTAGATTTCCTTGAGCAGCAGAAAACCTGCATTGCCTTGTTGTTGTTGTTAGTTGCGAAGTCGTGTCCGACCCATCATGATCCCATGGACAATGTCCCTCCAGGCCTTCCTGTCCTCTACCATCTTCTGGAGTCCATTTAAGCTCATGCCTACTGCTTCAGGGACTCCATCCAGCCACCTCATTCTCTGTCGTCTCCTTCTGTTGCCCTCAATCTTTCCCAGCATTAGGCTCTTCTCCAGTGAGTGCTTCCTTCTCATTAGGTGGCCAAAGTACTTGAGTTTCAACTTCAGGATCTGGCCTTCTAAAGGGCAGTCAGGGTTGATCTCCTCTAGGACTGACCGGTTTGATCGCCTTGTGGCTAATTCACCAACAAAGATGACCCATTAACAAAATGTTTTCTCCTCAGACCACCTTGAGGTACAACGTGCTCCCACACCCAGAGGACGACCCATTCGCGCTGACCGTCGACACAATTCCCGAAACGTGTGATGGAGCCAAGGCCCACAAGCAATTCGACATTGTCATGAACGTCAGGTACTTCTCTCGTCAATAAGTCACAGCTGAAGGGGATCTGGCTGCCATTCAAGAGACGCCATTCAAACAAATCAGCCATCTCAGAGAAATGTGATTTGTTTGGGGTTCCATATATTGTGGGGACCTAATAATGTCTAATAATAATGTCTTAGCAAGGTTGTGTGAACTATTAAGCTATGATATGGCTTATTTATTTGGATATGGCAGCGGTTCCCCAACCTTTTGGGCACCAGGGACTCGTTCCGTGGAGAAAGGTTTATCCGCAAACTGGAGGGGGCGTGGCCTGCATCCGGCATGTTTGCACGGACTGCTTGCTGGCATGCCACGGACCAGTGCTGATCCACAAACCCGGGGTTGGGGACCCCCAGGGTATAGCATGCCATACACAACAAAACAGATGTGTTTTCTTAATGAGATGGTTGCATGAATCCAGCCACTTTATGCATGACATGCTTAACTGGACGAAGGAAGGGTGTAGTTAACTCATTGGACCACCCTGACAATTACTGTAATTCACAGGGAGTTAGTTCCAGTTTAAAACATCTTCAGCACTGCTTGGAGTTAAAGACACACAATCAACTACATCACAAAAAACAGCTTATAGGTCAGGGGTAGGCAACCTTGGCTCTTTTATGACTCGTGGACTTCAACTCCCAGAATTCCTGAGCCAGCATGGCTCAATTTGGAAACTCTCCTTTTCCCCTCAGCATGGCTGGCTCAGGAATACTGGGAGTTGAAGTTCACGAGTCATAAAAGAGCCAAGGTTGCCTACCCCTGTTATAGGTTAACCGTCCATTTTTCTTTCTGAGATAAAGTTGAAGTCCTAGGTGGCCCCATGAAAACAGGGCTTCTCTAGGCACTCTGTATGGCCTATCTCCCTACAAAGGTTGAAATAGGAACGGCAATAAGGAAGTCCTTCCCCGTTGTCTGTGTACTGCACGCATCATAATTGCAGCACTGCAGATATTTTTGGGTGCTTCAGAAAATGACAACCTCCCAATCATCTTTGTGAAGATGGGGAGGATTCAGAAAACAATCTGTGATTCTGTGTTGCTGGCATCCAGGGCTAAGTCAAGTGTCTGGGAGCAGAGGATAGTGATGTCATTTAAATACTGTCACCGCAACGTCATCTGGATAGATCTGGACTCCAAGCCCTAGTTAACCTTTAATGCAGGGAGAACAACCTTTGGATGGGCCAATATAGGCTAAGTGGTGGAATCACATCAGACCACTGACATTCAAACAAATCAGCCATCAACAGACACACAGAGATCAATCCTGTCTACATACCATTTAAAAGATACAATTCAAAGTCTAGGAAGCAAACAGCCCAGAACAGGTACCCTCCATCATCTATCACATACAGTAGTGGCCAAAATTGTGGAAGCCTTTTGGGAAAATGTACAGTAGAAATGCCACCTTCGGTTAAGTTTCCACCCATTTTTCTTCTAATTTCTTTATAACTGTAGCCTTGTTCACTTAATAATACTATTTTACATCGCTTTCTGGGCAACCAGTCGACTCTTTGCACCATTACTTTAATTTTATTACGTTTTACAAGCTCACTAAATGAAAGAACACAAAAAAACCCAACCGACTTGATAGCCATCACATAACACACTGACAAATGTCCTCCTCTCAGCTTCAATACAGGACATCAATAACTGAATCCTACTGTCATCTGATTGGCTCATTGCCAAAACAAGATGACACCCGATTGGCTCTCTAAACACTCATGGTCATTGGCTACAACCAGATGAAGGAAAGCTACCTGATATCAAACCTAAGCAAGTTGTGCTTCCTTTTTCTGGTTATTTGGCTATAGCTTTTCATAAAATACAATACAGATAATTGAACAAACTATGTTGCATTACATTCTTGATTAAATTATCTTTCCATTGATATATAGTTTTATGGTACTATTCCAAAACAAAAGTGATGTTATTAGCCATCAAACCTCAACAATACAGTTTTCCCAAAAGGTTTCCACAAGTTTGGTGTTTTGGTAGGGGTTTTTATAGGGGGTATTTTAGAGCAGGCTTTTTATTTAATATTTATTCTGATTTTTATTATCGCCTGTTCACTGCCCTGAGTCCCGTAAGGGAGATAGGGCGGTATATAAATTTAAATAATAAATTTAAATAATAAAAATAAGATAATAACGTAGATAAGCAAGGAACAGCACCAGAGAAATAATAAGGGAGGAAACAACGCCCTGTTAAAGGAGACGACAAAGAGGGAGCTACACTCTCGCCAAGATTGGCAGGACTGACTACCACACAGAAACAACTAACATGCTCCCCTTCCCTCTGCATTGATGATGTTGCCTAGTATGGTCAGGAAAGGTCAGCAGGAAAAGGGGAAATTCAGAGAGCACAAAAGAACACAACCGAACACATTTCCATCCCAATCAGAGACTAGAACATGGATCTTCTTGGTAGGAATCCAATGAGTGATTGTGGGATCAGGAATTAAAAACCCCACACCCATCTTAACCGGGGCTGACGTGGTTTCTTTTCCCTCTCATTTGTCCAGTTACACCGGCAAGCGTCCAGCCTCCAACATGGCGATAATTAAAGTCAAGATGGTCTCTGGATTTGTACCAAATAAGCCCTCTGCAAAAAAGGTAACGGATGGTCTCTCTTGACTACTGATCTCTCTTGACTGTGGCATTCCAAAGAATGAAGAGCTGCTGGGTGGAATTTGGCCACAAATGCCACCATCCAAGATTTATAGCCGAGACGTTGAAATAGAGTCTCTCTGTGTGGGGAGAGGAAGGGATGGGGAATGGAAATGTGCCCCACATTGTTTTATGATGGGCCATGCCTTCCATAGCAGTATCAACCATCCCAACATGGTCAATGTCATGTGTCTGACTAATGAAACACTTCAAAGAACTTTCAGGCATTGTTTAAGCTAAAAAGCCTTTATTAGTGTAAAGGAGTGTCAGCACGGCATGGTGGATGCCAAGATCTGAATTTCCCTTCCTTTGCACATCACATTCCAGGCATTTCCCCTCCCCTATTTTGGGGTCATGATTCACATCTTCCAATTAGCCTGGAGGGCAAAGATTCACTTCCGTCCTCTTCCGCGTGCTTTTCTCTCCTCTCTCATTCTCATCTGAATTAACTCTAAAAGTACCAGGCAGTTCTGCATATTTTGTCAAAGCAAGACTATTCAATATTAGCAGCGTTGACAGTCAGGTAGAAAAGAAAGACTCTTGGATCCATGCTTAGTCAAAAGTACACTTTACTAAAGCCAAGTGGTTACAGAAGAAGCAAAGCTGGATCTGGCGTTTTCGTGCCCAACGCACACAGTTAACTTTCCCTTGTTCCCATCCACCCCCCTGTTCTGTCCCAGCCTACGTACGTCCTTGTTACTTCACAAGGCAACCCCTCTTTTAACAGTAGACTGGAAAAAGAAACCCTTTTTATTTGAGTTACAGACCTTGTCCGCAAACGAAACGGAGCGCGAGCCAAACAGGGCATAAATCACTGGTAAAATAAACAGACCGTCATCTCTTGACACAGAAGTTCTTTTACAAACGGTTGCCTCCAGCAACCGGCCCTGCCCACACATTCCCTTTTTGTTACGCAGCCCCCAAGGCATGGCTTCTCACTGCTTTCTCCTCCTCCCTTGGAGTTGACCCATTGCCTCCCTCTGATTTACTCGTATGACCTGTCTACAGTTTACCAGCGTCTCTGAGGTCTTCCAGCTGTGCTTCCTCCGAGTCTGACTCATCCTCCCAGCCCAGCTGGCTTTCAGCTTGATCACAAAGTGATCTTCCTCACTTTGTAAGTCTTGTAACTCATCAGAGCCCTCCTCCGACTCTGATGGCTCCCCAGGCCCCTTCTCCTCCTCCTCCTCTGATTCCCCGGACTCAGCTGCCGGGATCACAGGCTGGCACGGAATCACAACACCCCACTAGTTACCATCGAGCATCATAGTGTGACCTTGGAACGTGTGTCGACTCTCACAGGACGGCACGATTCATGGTTTCATTTTCCCTCAGGCTAGACCTTCCTTTGTCCCCTCTGGCCGATCTTTCCTCCCCCCCCCCCCGTTGCTTAGGCAACGCAGAGCGTAGCAGGATGGCAGCCCTGATAGGCAGCCATTTTGTGAGAAGGACCAACAGCCTGCTTTCCAAAATGGCAAGCAGTGCTGAATATTCCAAGGGTGACCTCTGTTGGCCAAGGGCACTTCACCTCTCCAAGATCACGGCCAGGTTCTCCTTCCAAGGTTTCAGCCAACGGCCGGACGGCGGATTGGTGCCCCTGATCCATAATAATGAAGAAATCTCCCGTTTTGTTTTCCACAGCTGGAAAAGCAGGCTTCGATTAAGCGGGTGGATGTATCAGCCACTACAGTGGAGCTGTATTTGGAGAAGGTGAGTGCGGAAACCAAAATGAGGGAACGGGCGAGCTATAATGATAACGATAACCTTTTAATGATAATGGAAAGGCCAATAAAGAGAGGAAGGGAACTGCTGAGGGAATTTGCCCACTGAATCTTCCTGTGGAGCATGAAAAGACTCATACTCCACCTAAAGGCAGAGAGTCATAAACAAAGGAAAAGGGAATTACTTCGTTGAAGTATTTGGGAAAAGGTACAATAATATAAGAAGCCAATGGGTGCGGTCCAGATATTTGGGGCTCCATCCCTTATCCCCCTTTGTCAGGTTGTGTGGAGCTAGTCCGAAACATCTCAGCCTTTCATTGGGTGCCTGGCGGGCTTCAAAATTTCAACCTTCTAAGCCGGGGTAGGCCACCTTGGCTCTTTTATGACTCGTGGACTTCAACTCCCAGAATTCCTGAGCCAGCCATGCTGAGGGGAAAGGGAGAGGTTTCCAAGCTGAGCCAGGCTGGCTCAGGAATTCTGGGAGTTGAAGTCCACGAGTCATAAAAGAGCCAAGGTGGCCTACCCCTGGTCTAAGCAGTACAGGTTGTCCTCGACTTAACGACAGTTTGTTTAGTGACCATTCAAAGTTACAATGGTACTGGGGGGAAAAGTGATTTATGAGTGCTGCAGCTGCCAAAAAGGCCAACACAGTGCTAGGCTGCATTAACAGAGGGATAGAATCAAGATCACGTGAAGTGTTAATTAATACCACTTTACAATGCCTTGGTAAGGCCACACTTGGAATACTGCATCCAGTTTTGGTCACCACGATGTAAAAAAGATGTTGAGACTCTAGAAAGAGTACATAGAAGAGCAACAAAGATGCTCAGAGTTCTGGAGGCTAAAACATATGAGGAACGGCTGCTGGAATTGGGTATGTCTAGTTTAATGAAGAGAAGGGGGGACATGATAGCAGTATTCCAATATCTCAGGGGCTGCCACAAAGAAGAGGGAGTCAAGCTATTCTCCAAAGCGCCTGAAGGCAGAACAAGAAGCAACAGATGGAAACTAACCAAAGAGAGAAGCAACCTAGAACTAAGAAGAAACTTCCTGACAGTTAGAACAATTAACCAATGGAACAACCTGCCTCCAGAAGCGGTGAATGCGCCAACACTGGAAGTTTTTAAGAAGAAACTGGACAGCCATTTGTCCGAAATGGTATAGGGTTTCCTGCCTGAGCAGGGGGTTGGACTAGATGACCTTCAAGATCCCTTCCAACTTTACTATTATTATTATTATTATTATTATTATTATTATTATTATTATTATTATTATTATTATTATTATTATTATTATTATTATTATTATTATTATTATTATTATTATTATATTACATGACCATTGCAGCCATCTCTGTAGTCATATGATCAAAATTCAGATGTTTGGCAACTGGTATGTGGCCTTTTGATGAGCAAAGTCGAGGCGGAAACCAAATTCCCTTAACAACTGTCTTACTAACTTAACAACTGCAGGAGTTTACTTAACAACTGTGCGGTTGATGTGGATTCTGAGGGGTTCGTAGGCCGATGTGTCCGTTGATGGAATTGCTTGTGGAGTGCCAGGCTTTGACGAAGTCACGAGCGTGGCGGGCGGGAGGTAGCGTGGCCGATGATTTTTACTGTTGCTCCCATCAAACCGGTGTCGGTGTGGGTAGAGATTATGTACGCCGCCAAGGGACAAAGGAGCCATACACTGAAAATGTGCAGGTGGACCTTGTCTAAACCTCTTTATTTTATCCGCAGCTGACCAACGTCACCATGCACATCTCGTTCACGGTAGAACGGAGCTTCGAGATCCAGAATCAGAGGGCGGCGTTTGTGCAAGTGTACGACTATTACGAAGGTGAGCTCGGAATATGCGGCTGTGGGTTCTGAATTCGATCCCGCCCCACCGCCAACGTGTCCTCCCTGAGGACTCCAAAGCCAAATCCCAAAAGATGGTAAAAGAACAGCTCACGTCCCTTTGGGACGTGAGGGAAGGCCCATTTGATATTAACCATAGTTTCCCTTCATGTTTCCAGATGAATCCACCGTGGTTCCATATAGCGCCCCCTGCAGCAAAGGTACAGTATGGACTCCTTTTGAACTCTTACTACTCTCTTCCAATCTTCTTTCTTTCTTTTTTTGCTGAGTAGAACCTTCTAAACGCGACCAATTTGCATTTTTATTCTATTGAATAGAATATCATTCCAAAAAAAAATATATCTGTCTTTGGCTTTATGCCAGCGGTCTCCCAACTTGATAACTTTACACCTTGCGGACTTCAATTCCCAGAATTCCTCCAGCCATCCTCAAGCTCGACAATTTTTAAGGTGTGAGGACTGGAATTCCCCAGCCAGCAGAAGTCCACACTTTTTAAAGTTGCCGAGGTGGAGAGACATTGCTTTAGATTGTCTGCGTCTTTGAAATCCATTTGCTTCCAAAGGTGTTCAAGAAAAGTATGTAGGTTGACTTCGCTGAATAGCAAAAGCGCTTAGACTTATATACTGCTTCACAGTGCTTTACAGACCTCTCTAAGCGGTTTACAGAGTCAGCCTATTTGCCCTCAACAATCTGGGTCCTCATTTTACTGACCTCGGAAGGATGGAAGGCTGAGTCAACCTTGAGCTTGTGAGAATTGAACTGCTGGCAGCTGGCAGTCAGCAGAAGTAGCCTGCAGTACTGAATTCCAACCACTGCGCCACCATGGCTCTCGGCCCTAATTTGATTACTTTGAACATGGCTCAGTGTGTCAGGTTTATAAGCTAATGTTCATAATTTACATTAATAAGTGAAGCTAGCCTATGTTTTATTCAAGAACTACACTTAAATCAAGTCCTAGAATCAGGGGTAGGCCACCTTGGCTCTTTTATGACTCGTGGACTTCAACTCCCAGAATTCCTGAGGCCGCCATGCTGAGGGGAAAGGGAGAGGTTTCCAAGCTGAGCCATGGCTGGCTCAGGAATTCTGGGAGTTGAAGTCTACGAGTCATAAAAGGGCCGAGTTTGAAGACCCCTGGATTATAGCGTCGTAAAAAGAAAAAGAAACATGGATAAGGCCATCCACAGATAAAAAGTTCCTCAAATTTGTAATCAAAATACCGTGAAAAATGTGCCACCCACAGATATGTCAACCCCCATTTTTCATGGTACACTTTATTTGGCAACTTTGAGGGTCAGCTTGTCCATGGATCACACACAATGTGTAGTCCTTAATGGAGCTACATTTACATGGAGCAGGGGTAGACCACCTTGGCTCTTTTATGACTCGTGGACTTCAACTCCCAGAATCCCTGAGCCAGCGTGGCTCAGCTTGGAAACCTCTCCCTTTCCCCTCAGCATGGCTGGCTCAGGAATTCTGGGAGTTGAAGTCCACGAGTCATAAAAGAGCCAAGGTGGCCTACCCCTGTCCTAGTGCAATGTATATCCTCAAAAATTAAAAGAAAGAAGGGCTAATTCAGCTCCTTTCTGCAACTGTAACAACCTGCTGGTGTTCAAATGTGTTGGGACTTCAGTTTCTTTCGTAATATGCCATGCTAGCTGAGCAGGACAGTTTTTGTACCTGGAGAGGGGAGGTTTTAATCATAGCCACTCCCATCCAATTTCTGTTTAACTAGTCCAGCAAGAAGGATGTGAACTTCACCTTAAAATGATAAATCATCCTAAAAGGAGAAGCAAGTTTGGCTTGGAGAAGAGGTCCAACGCCCACATTTCTTTGTCCACCTTTGGTTGAATGCTTGGCTTAGCTCAGGGGTGTCAAACTCAATTTCATTGAGGGATGCATCAGCATTGTGGTTGCCCTCGGGTGGGGGTGGGGGTGCAGCCTACTGTGTGGGCGTGGATGGAGTGGGTGTGGCCTACTAGGTGGGTGTGGTCAGCTCTACATCATTCGCGTCAAGGGTGCCTGTGGGACAGGAGTGGGACAGATCTGAGGGTCTCTGGCAGAAAGGGGTGGGACCAGGGCAGAGCCCATCAAGCCGGATATGTGAAGTAGGCAAGGGCCATTTGCTGGCCACTTCCAGGCGATGATGCATTTCTTCATTCCTCACAAAGGGTGACACCTCCCCAGCATGCACCCAGGGGGCGGGGCCGACGCGGCAAGGGCTGGTCCCTCGCTGTTTCTAGACGGCCTTGTGGAGCTAAGACTGAATGCGTTTCAGCATAGATGGCCACCACAAAATTGTACATTGGCTCCCGGCCGGCCTGGGCCGGGGCCAAGGCAGCGGGGGCTGTTCCTTCACTGTTTCCAGGATGGCTTCGCGGGCCACATGAAACCACTTCGCGGGCCGCATCCACCCCCCCCCGGGCCTTGTGTTTGACATGTCCGGCTCAGCTGATCTTTTGATGGTCTTTTCTCCCCCACAGCTAAGTCTGGGAACGCATGAGGAACAGAGTCGCCCTCCACCGTCTCCCAGTTAGTCCCAAAGATGCTTTCCTTCCCAACCTGATGAGAAAACAACAGGCAGAAGACGGCCACCCAAAGACCCAAGAAGAACCAGGCGCCCTCTGGGCGCCTTCCTTCATCGACCGCTTTGCGAGCTCCAAGGAATTTGAGACACGCCACCGGCTTCACCTTCTCTCCACTTGGGTCCGGAAAAACAAACATCTGGCATTTGCTGTTGTCTCCTCTGAGGGGTGGAAAGAACGAAACAAATAAATAAATGTATGGATTTCATCAGCTGTGCTTCGAATCCATCTTTCACGTGGGTTTCCCTAATACAGGGGTCGGCAAACCTTAAACACTCAAAGAGCCACTTGGACCCGTTTCCCAGAGAAAAGGAAACACTGGGGGCCACGCATGGGGTGGGGGAAGCTTGATTGAAGAGTTTAATTAAAAAGAAATAGAGGCTGCGTTCTCTCTCTCTCTCCCCTCCCTCTTTGTCTCCCTCCCTCCCTCTCTCTCTCCCCTCCTCTCTCTGATCTTCTGCTCACCTGGCAAGCTGGCTTCACGCTGTTGTCCGACAAGCTGACACACGTTCTTATTGGGCTGGCTCTCTCCTGCCCTTGGTCTGCCAGTCCTCTTCCCCCACTCAGTGTGTGTGTGTGAGAGAGAGAGAGAGAGAGAGAGAGACAGAGAGACAGAGAGACAGAGAGAGAAGGGAAGCGCAAGTGCCTCTAATAATAATAATAGTAATAATAGTAGTAATAATAGTAATAATAGTAATAATAGTAATAGTAATAATACTAATACTACTACTACTACTACTACTACTACTACTAATAATAATAATAATAATAATAATAATAATAATAATAATAATAATAATAATAATAATAATAATAAAGTTGGAAGGGACTTTGGAGGTCATCGAGTCCAACCCCCTGCTCAGGCAGGAAACCTACACCATTTCGGACAAATGGCTGTCCAGTCTCTTCTTAAAAACTTCCAGTGTTGGAGCATTCACCGCTTCTGGAGGCAGGTTGTTCCACTGGTTAATTGTTCTAACTGTCAGGAAGTTTCTCCTTAGTTCTAGGTCAGTGATGGCGAACCTTTTAGAGACCGAGTGCCCAAACTGCAACCCAAAACACACTTATGCATCGTCGGGTGCCGGGTGGGTGTGGCCCATTGGGTGGGCGTGGCTGCGGTGGTAACAGCAGACTGAGTGGGACTAAAAAGTTCATTCAATCAATTCCAACTTTGCAAGATCTTTTTTTTCCCTGCGAGAAGTTGAAATTGACCGATTGATTGAACTTTTTTTTTTTTGGTACACAGTGGCAGAGGCCTAAAGCGAAAAGGTTTTATAAAACCCAGCTGAAGGCCTAGGACTGGGGTGATGGCGCGCATGCCCACAGAGAGGGCTGAGTGCCGCCTCTGGCACCCGTGCCATAGGTTCGCCACCACTGTTCTAGGTTGCTTCTCTCCTTGGTTACTTTCCATCCGTTGCTTCTTGTCCTGCCTTCAGGCGCCTTGGAGAATAGCTTGACTCCCTCTTCTTTGTGGCAGCCCCTGAGATACTGGAACACGGCTATCATGTCCACCCTCGTCCTTCTCTTCGTTAAACTAGACATACCCAATTCCAGCAACCGTTCCTCTCTCTGTCTCTGTCTCTGCAAATGGCGGAGGGGGCTGAGAGCCACAGGAGAAGGCTCAAACAGCCACATGCGGCTCCGGAGCCGCAGGTTGCCAACCCGTGCCCTAATAGAAACAGGCTTGCTGTGGATATTAAGAATGAAAAAGCAACCTCTCTAGAAGTTCTGGAGAAGATTGTTCAAACCGATTGGAATTTGACGGCTTGTAAAATCTGTTTTGTTCCAATGGGGATCCTTACCTATTCCAACCCAAAACTCCGGGTCCTGATTGGGCAAAAGTGGAGGAAGTGGTAGACCAACCTCAGAGTCAACAGAAAGCAGTTCACCTGGATACGTCTGTGGAGATTCTCAATCATCCAGGTCATAGTTCTTCCAAAGACGCTTTTCCACGCGGCAACTGGACTTTCTTGTTTTTCTTTGAAGACGTTTCGCTTCTCATCCAGCTTCTTGGATGAGAAGTGAAACGTCGTCAAAGAAAAACAAGAAAGTCCAGTTGCCTCATAAAAAAAAGCACCTTTGGATCACCTGGATAGTTTCCCTCCACCTTGCAGGTTACCTAAGGACCTGTGAGCAAGCTACTCTGATTATGTAACAGTGATCTAAACCAGGGTTTCATCACCTTGGCAATTTTCAACGCCCAGAATTCTCCAGCCAGCAACTTCAGCAGGGGTTCCACACACAAGTTAAAGCTTGCTGGCCTGGGCAAGTCTGTGAATTGAAGTTCCCACATGTCAAAGTTGCCAAGGTTGGGAAACATTGATCTAAACCAGGGGTAGGCAACCTTGGCTCTTTTATGACTGGTGGACTTCAACTCCCAGAATTCCTGAGCCAGCATGGCTCAGCTTGGAAACCTCTCCCTTTCCCCTCAGCATGGCTGGCTCAGGAATTCTGGGAGTTGAAGTCCAGCAGTCATAAAAGAGCCAAGGTTGCCTACCCCGATCTAAACTGAGAAAAAACCTCTTTTCTACTACCGGCTAAATACCATGGAAGGAAGAAAAAAAAAGCACACCCTCTCTGTTTCAACAAGTTTTGGCAATCTGGTGTCTTCCTGACATTTTTAGGCTCCTTCATTCCTGTCCACCAGTCAGTGTACCTACGTGTAATGTGTGTGTGTCGTGTGAGGGTATGAGAACTGACGCCCAAAGCCTCTGTAGGGCAACACGTTCATTGCCCCCCTCTTCCAGATTGCCCCTTTTTAATGTCCTCCTCAGTTAAGAACTGCTTGCATGGAAAAGGCAAATCAAATTTTGCTTAAATTTGCTTAAAGATTAGGAGGTTTGGCTCTTGACAACACAAAACTGCCAGGAAACTCACAATTTTCTGCCTGTTCCCATCACCTCACCTCTTCCCATTGTACAAAAGCAGTGATAACCGCAAGATCAGGAATTCAAACCAAAAAAGGCAGAAGGGAAAAAACACAGGGAACGCCAGGAAAATTCCAAGGATAGAGGGTAACTGTAGAAAATGAATTCATTTATTTATTTAAAGTACACACCTGTCACTTATCTCGTGTATTATAAGCCTGGGTGATTCACAAAAGCAGGCAAAAAATCCCTCCCCACACTTTTAAAAAACCCACACACAAAAGTTTTGGTGTCCCAAAATATATATATATATATACTCCTCCAGGCATCCACATCTAGATTTACTGGGCTCCAGCCTCTCCCTGACCCAGCCTCTCCCTGACCCAGCCTCACCCTAACCCAGGGGTAGGCCATCTTGGCTCTTTTACGACTCGTGGACTTCAACTCCCAGAATTCCTGACCCAGCCATGCTGAGGGGAAAGGGAGAGTTTCCAAGCTGAGCCATGCTGGCTCAGGAATTCTGGGAGTTGAAGTCCGCGAGTCATAAAAGAGCCAAGATTGCCTACCCCTGCCCTAGCCCAATGTTTGGGGTATTAGAGAATCAGATAAAGTTGTTTCAACTTGCATTTAACAACATGGCAGGAGGGAGAGATGGAAAATGATTAATTTGTGGGCAGCTTTTTTTATGAAACTAGACTTATCAGCTCCAGAAGTTCCTACTGGTGCTTTATGGCATAATGCTTTTTAAAAAAAAATTATCGTACACATATAGGGTTGGTAGAGGTATGTAATTGTTTTGAATTTCAAAAACGGGCTTTGAAAAGTACAGTTTAAATTGACTACAACCCTTTAAAGTAGTTTTTTGTGGGCTGTGCCAGGGAAAAGATGCAGCTGCTTTAAAGAGCAGCAGACCTAGATTCTATTTACTCTTCCACATCTCTTGAAATATCTTTTCCAAATTATCTCTGAAATCCTTTATTGGGGGGGGGGGGGAGAAGGAAACTGAATCTAACGAGACACGAAGCCCTAATAGTTTATATTTGGATGAATAACATGGAAAATAAAGAGAGTTCTGTGGATGCATTGATCCTGGGGTATAAAAACTACTTACCTGTACGAGAATGACTGGCAGAACCGGGGGTGGAATCGAAAGAGGAATCAGCCTAGAATCTCTACATAGCTACAAACAAAATCCAACCTCTCTCTAATTCTGTTGAACCTCAGGAATAGCCAACACTCCTGGCAGGAATAGCCAACACTCCAGAAGACAGGCTTAAGATACAGGAGGATCTGGACAGACTTGAACACTGGGCGCTATCTAACAAAATGAAATTCAATGGTGAAAAAAGTAAGGTTCTATATTTAGGCAAGAAAAACCAAATGTACAGGTATAGTATAATACCTTGCTCAATAGTAGTAACTGTGAGAGGGATCTCAGAGTCCTAGTGGACAATCACTTAAATATGAGCCAGCAGTGTGCTGTAGCTGCCAAAAAAGCCAACACAGTGCTAGGCTGCATTAACAGGGTAGAATCAAGATCCCATGAAGTATTAATACCACTTTACAATGCCTTGGTAAGGTCACACTTGGAATGCTGCATCCAGTTTTGGTCACCACGATGTAAAAAAGATGTTGAGACTCTAGAAAGAGTACAGAGAAGAGCAACAAAGATGATCAGGGGACTGGAGGCTAAAACATATAAGGAACGGTTGCTGGAATTGGGTATGTCTAGTTTAACGAAGAGAAGGACGAGGGGGGACATGATAGCAGTGTTCCAGTATCTCAGGGGCTGCCACAAAGAAGAGGGAGTCAAGCTATTTTCCAAAGCGCCTGAAGGCAGGACAAGAAGCAAAGAATGGAAACTAATCAAGGAGAGAAGCAATCTAGAACTAAGGAGAAACTTCCTGACAGTTAGAACAATTAACCAGTGGAACAACCTGCCTCCAGAAGTGGTGGATGCTCCAACACTGGAAGTTTTTAAGAAGAGACTGGACAGCCATTTGTCTGAAATGGTATAGGGTCTCCTGCCTGAGCAGGGGGTTGGACTAGATGACCTCCAAGGTCCCTTCCAACTTTATTATCATCATCATCATCATCATCATCTAGTACCAAAATAGTACTGTTAGTTGACTAGATTCCTCTGCATATGCATGAGCAATTAATCAGTTTAATTAGCCCTGGTCATTTGAGTCTCACATTACCCTTCACCTTGAAAACCCATAAAAACAAGAAAACCTTGGATTAAAGTTGACACAAGCAACATGGACATTTCATAACCAAAGTTGGTTCAAGCAATATGGACATTTCATCGGGGTACACAAATAAACAAGGATATCCGGGGAGGTATTTTTCGAGGCAGGCTATTTATTTTGATGTGCCAAAATTTAAAAAAAAAAAAAAAGAGTGATGCTCTGAGTTACTTACATTTTTAGCCAAACTTTCTCAACTTTGGCGGCTTGAAGAGTTGTGGACTTCAACTCCCAGAATGCATGCTAGCTGAGGAATTCTGGGAGTTCAAGTTCAGATGTCTTAAAAATTATTGAGACTGACAAAACACCGCTTTAGGGTTAAGAGCATCTAAGTGTAGCTGGGATTAGGGTCACTTTTGAGTACAATCGATTTAAAGAAAGATACTTTTAAAATAATCCAGTCTGTTCTTGGTAGTATTATTATTATTTATAAATTTTTAAACGTTCTCTGGGTGCAAGGATTCCTTGTCTGATTCTCATTATTATTCTCCAACCTTGGCAACTTTTAAGACTTGTGGACTTCAACTCCCAGAATTCCTCAGCCAACAAGCATTCTGGAAGTAGAAGTCCACCACATCTAAAGTAGCATGGCTAGCTGAGGAATTCTGGGAGTTGAAGTCCACAAGTCTTAGCAAGTTGTCAAGGTCAGAGACTCCTGTTTTACACCATCTGTGCGTTTTATGCCCCGCGGACCATTTTTATCATCTCTCCCCTGTGTGAATGGTCTGGTGCTTCTTCAAATTTCCCATCTGGCTGAAGTCTTTCCCGCACAAAGGGCATTTGTACGGTCTCTCACCCGTGTGAATCCTCTGGTGCTTTTTTAAGTCCCCTCCCAGGTTGAAACCTTTCCCGCACTGAGGGCATTTGTAGGGTCTCTCTCCCGTGTGAGTCCTTTGATGGTTCTTCAAAAGGACCGCTTGGATGAAGCACTTCCCGCACAGCAAGCATTTGTAAGGCTTCTCTCCAGTATGAATTCTCTGGTGGGTCTTTAGATTTCCCTTCTGGTTGAAGCATTTTCCGCAGTAAGAGCATTCATAGGGTTGCTCGCCGGTGTGAATTCGTTGGTGATTCTTCAGGTCCCCTTTCTGAGTGAAGCCTTTCCCACACTGAGGGCATTTGTTGATTCTCCCTTCCGTCCTGGGATCCTGAGTTCTGTTTAGCGGCTGCATGTAAACGAAATTCTTCCCGCTTTCAGCGTCGCTATTTGGCTTCCAACCTTCCCGGAGGGTCGGAAATATCTTCAAACAGCTCTCTCTCCCGTGTTCGGAGACTTCGTAGCTTCGATTTGCTGTGAGGATTTTTTCCGGTTTATCGAAGCGTGAATTATGCGGCAGGTTTTCCTCTGACGCGGGGCGGGTTTTGTATTCCTCCCTGGAATGTTCCGTTCCGAGTTCAAACCTGTAGCGATATTTTCTACCATAACAGGAGAACGATGGCATTTTATCCCAAGTGGGCTTTGTGATGCTTTCGATGATGGCAGCCGTGCTACTCCCGGCATGCTGAGTGCATTCATTCTGGGTTCGGGATTCGCTTCTTCCCTCTGGTCTTTCCATGGTTGGGGCTACGTTCCCCGAATTCAGCAGTGGAAGGGCCTCATGGGCTTCTTCTGGTTTCTTTTCTTCATCCTGAATATTCTCCACTTTCACCAGACTTCTCTTTCCATCACCTACGGCAACAAAGAAAATATTTTTTCTCCGGATCGGCTGACTCTTTTCAAGATTCCTATTCCGCCTAGCCACAGACCTTTTTCTCGTGAATTTGTTCATTAAATTCAGCCTACCTGAGGGTATCTGGGCCAGCCCCTCCTCATCAAGCTTCTGAACAACTACATATGCATAGCTTGTCAAACACCGGAGAAATCAGGGAGATTCAGGCAGTTCAAATGAGTATAAAGATGTGTGGCAAGTTTAACTTTTCTACAAAAATCTGAGCTACTAACAGTCAAGGGAAATGAACGGGCATTCAAGGTGGGCTGGACTTAGCTCTCTAAAGGGCACACAGGGACTCGTAATTGATGACATGTTTGACCCCTCCCTTGGGCTCAGCCTCCAACATCGCTCTTGGGAAGAGCATTTGGGGACACGTAAAGATCATATTACCTCTTGAGCCAACTGGATCAGGTGAAGCTTATCAGATTTTCTGAGGAGAAAATTCTTACCAAGACCACCAGCGTTCCCCCCATCCTCTTGGAGGACTTTCCAAGCAAAGGTCTCTTGGCTCGGCTGGGTGAGGTGCCGCTTGAGGATTTGCAAAGACGCAATCGTTTTGGGATGTTCCGTACAACTCTGCGGTAGGAAAAAAAGATAAAGGTAATCCTCGAGTTACGCTCATAATGGAGTCTGCCTATTACAGTCGTTAAGTCATAAAGGTTATAAAACAGATCAGTCACGCGACTGACCTGATTTTTACATTTTTTTTTGCAGGGGTCATTAAGCAAACCGGTGGTTGCTAAGCAAATCCACTGCTCTCTAGGGTGCAGTTTTGCCGAGCACCCAAAGCACCTTGACTCTTTTGTGACTCGTGGACTTCAACTCCCAGAATTCCTGAGCCAGCCATGCTAAGGGGAAAGGGAGAGGTTTGCAAGCTGAGCCATGCTGGCTCAGGAATTCTGGGAGTTGAAGTCCACGAGTCATAAAAGAGCCAAGGTGGCCTACCCCTGACCCAAAGCATGATCATGCGAAGGGGAGGGGTGACCACTGGAACTTTGGATCCAGATCCTAAGTCCTCTGTCAGGGGTGGGGACCCTTGACTCTTTTATGACTTGTGGACTTCAACTCCCAGAATTCACGAGCCAGCATGCCTGGCTCAGGAATTCTGGGAGTTGAAGTCCACAAGTCATAAAAGAGCCATGTTTCCCCACCCGAGATAGGTCATAACTTAGCGGCTGGTGGTAAATCAAGGACTATCTATAGTTCTTTACCTATAATGGACAACTCTAGAAGCAAGATTCAGAGTTTCGTTAACTGGGTTTAATGCCAGAGGGAAAAAAAGGGGAGTGGGTATGGGATATAGAATTTTGGAAACCCAATAAGCAAGACCGATGAGTGAATTTGTGAGTCAGGACTCTCTCCAAATATCTGAACATTTTTTTCTTAGTTTACTTTACTTTTTCATCAGGGAAGACTGAAACACTGACGTGCTCTTTATTCTGAAAAAGATACAGCTGCTTTAATGAGCTGCAGGTAGATCAGTGGTTCTCAACCTTTTTAATGCTGCGACCCCAACCGGTCATAAGTCGAGGACTAAACCGGTCGTAAGTCGAGGACTAAACCGGTCGTACGTCGAGGACTAAACCGGTCATAAGTCAAGGACTACCCAACCGGTCATAAGTCGAGGACTTTCCCTGCCCAGGAGCGCCGCGCATGCGTGGTTCCGCCCCCTGCGCCGGCCGAGGCGTAGCTGGCAAGCGGCAGAGACGGAGCAGGCCAACCACCAGCTGGCCCAGCACAAGGGAGGTAAGGCACCCGCCGGAAAAGGGGGAAAAAATGGCGAACAAAAAAAATGGCAGACAAAAAAAATGGCGGACAGCCTTGCTTGGCGACCCCCGTGAAATGGTCGATCGACCCCAAATGGGGTCCCGACCCACAGGTTGAGAACCACTGAGGTAGATCGTTCGCAGCCGTTTCTTGTGTTCGCCAATGGAACAATAGAAATGCATCCACGGGGAGGCTAATTACCTTTCTCTCACCATTTAGGACCCTCCCCTGTCCTTCTGAAGAATGAGACGAAGTAGCTTCATTTGGAGATTGGATTCCAAGGCCTGCAAGTGAAGAAAAACAGAATGTAGAAGGTGAGTTGGCTCTTTTGTTTTGTTCAAAATGAACAGGCACAAAATATGACAAAGAGCTCTCATACACCGTTAGAAAAAAGGGATTTTTTTTCCGAAGCAAGACCAGTGATTGAATGGGAAAAAATGTGATGATGATGATGATGATGATGATGATGATGATGATGATGATGATAATAATAATAATAATAATAATAATAATAATAATAATAATAATAATAATAATAATAATAAAAATAATAGTAAAGTTGGAAGGGACCTTGGAGGTCATCTAGTCCAACCCCCTGCTCAGGCAGGAAACCCTATACCATTTCGGACAAATGGCTGTCCAGTCTCTTCTTAAAAACTTCCAGTGTTGGAGCATTCACCGCTTCTGGAGGCAGGTTGTTCCACTGGTTAATTGTTCTAACTGTCAGGAAGTTTCTCCTTGGTTCTAGGTTGCTTCTCTCCTTGATTAGTTTCCACCCGTTAAGTTTTCTGAAACTTAAATTCTCTGTGGTCTTGGTCTTCCTCCCTTACCACAAGGGACCCTAACTAGTAATTCTCTTACTATTTAATTTGATCCTTTCTTGCAATAAATATGAGGCATCTCTCTCTCTCTCTTTCTCTCTCTCTCTCAGTTGTTAAGGAAATCTCTGCAGTTGCTAAGTGAAACAGGACGTCATTAAGTGAATCTGGCTTTCCCCATTGACTTTTACTCGTCGGATGCTGGCTGGGAAGATTACAAATGGTGATCACGCGACTCCGGGACACCGCAACCGTCATCAATACATGCCAGTTGCCAAGTGCCCAAATTTTGATCACAAGATCATGGGGATGCTGCAACTGTTGTTAAGTGTGAAAATCGGTCATAAGTCACTTTTTTTCAGGGCCATTATAACTTCTTTCACTAAACCAGGGGTCTTCAAACTTGGCCCTTTTATGACTTGTGGACTTCAACTCCCAGAATGCCTCAGCCAGCGTGCCTGGCTGAGGAATTCTGGGAGTTGAAGTACACAAGTCATAAAAGGGCCAAGTTTGAAGACCCCTGGTCTACATTTAGGCAAGAAAAACCAAATGCATGGGTATAGTATAGGTCAAAGGTCGGCAACCCGCGGCTCCAGAGCCGCATGTGGCTCTTTGAGCCTTCTCCTGCGGCTCCAGTCCTCCTCCGCCATTTGCAGAGAGAGAGACAGAGACAGAGAGAGGCACATTCTCTCTCCCTCCCTCCCTTCCTCTGTGTGTGTGTGTGTGTCTGTGTGTATGTATGTACAGGAAGTCCTTGACTTACAACAGTTCACTTGGTGACCGTTTGAAGTTACAAAGGCACTGAAAAAAAGTGACTTATGACCATTTTTCACACTTATGACTGTTGCAGCAGCCCCATGGTCATGTGAAGTATATCCGGATGCTTGACAACTGACTCATTTATGACGGTCGCCGTGTCCTGGGGTCATGTGATTATCTTTTGCGACTTTCTGACAAGCCACCTCAATGGGGAAGCCAGATTCACTTAACAACCGTGTTACTAATTTAACAGCTGCAGTGATTCACTTAGCAAATGTGGCAGGAAAAGTCACAAAATGGGGCAAAACAAATTTCTCGCTTAGTGACCAAAATTTTGGGCCCCATTGCGGCTGTAAGTTGAGGACTACCTGTATGTATCCATGTATAGCAATAGCATCTAGGCTTATATACCGCCCCATAGTACTTTACACAATCTCTGGACAGTTTACAATGGAAGCATTATTTGCATATTTGCCTCAACCATCGGGGTCCTCATTTTACCGACTTAGGAAGGATGGAAGAGTGAAGTCAACCTTGAGCTGGTCAGAATTGAACTCCAGACTGTGGGCAGAGTCAGCCTGCAATACTGCATTCTAACCACTGCGTGCTACCACTTATAGTTAGAAGAATCGTTTTGATGAAGTTTCGTCGATCAGCTCACATCTCACCAGCTTTATCCAAGGAGAAATAAACGTCAGTGGAAAATAAAAACAGAACAACTTGGAAAAAAATAATAATCATCAAAATTTCCACTTCTGCAAAAACAGAGGCAGGTTTAGGAAGTCAGATTGCTTTTCAAGAGGTCAATAAGAAAGGACCAACTCCCATCCGATGCCCAGTGACGTCTGAGGCAGCCATTTTGCACTTCACATCACCTCTTTGACGGCCATCTTTAAAGCGCCTCCTCTCCGCCTCTTCATGTGGCCCCAAGAACTCCGTGCGCTCCACATTTAAGGACCTCTGAAAGAGTAAGAATGATCCAGTTCAGAACACAAGGACGTGGCAGGGAAAGTACAGTAATTCCTGTGGGAAGAGACATTTATGGATCTCTCCAATCTGTTTTTTTTTCAATAAACTGATTTTCACCATGAAATGAAATATCTCAATAGCTACATCATAACCTGTACTAATACACGGAGCCCTTGGCTTACGACTGAAATGGAACTTGCTCGTTATAGTCATAAATTGTGATGGTTGTAAAGTGGGTCATCACACGACCGATCTGATGTTAAGACATCAAGATAGAAATCAGGAGACTGTGAATTCTAGTCCTTCCTTCCTTCCCTCTCTCCCTCCCTCCCTCATTTATTAAACTTTTATATCACTACAAGGTGACCCTCCCTCCCTCCCTCCCTCCCTTCCTTCCTTCCTTCCTTCCTTCCTTCTTTCCTTCCTTCCTTCCTTCCCTCCCTCCCTCCCTCCCTATTAAACTTTTATGTCACTACAAGGTGACTCTCCTTCCTTCCTTCCTTCCTTCCTTCCTTCCTTCCTTCCCTTCCTACTTCCTTCCTTTCCTCCCTCCTTCCTTCCTTCCTTCCCTCCCTCCCTCCCTTTTTATTTATTAAATTTTTATGTCACCCATCTCCCCTACAAGGTGACTCTGGGCGACCTTAGGCACAAAGCCAGCCGGATGACCTTGAGCCAGTCACTTTAACTCAGCCCTAGGAAGGAGGCAATGGCAAACCACTTCTGAAAAATCACCCCAAGAACCCTGCAGGGATTTATCCAGGCAGTCTTTGAGAATCGGAAAAGACTGAACGGGGAAAAAAAAAAGGTAAAGTCTATCTTAATTTTCAGGTAGTAGGAACGAGTATTCATATATAGATTAATAACTGGTGCACATCACCTGCCACCTGCCTGGCTTGAAGTCTTGCTGGCTCCTCAGGGACTCCTCCACCAAAGCCACCGCCTGGGAACAGGTGTCCGGTCCTCCTGCCCGGATCCAGCTCTGGAGGTCCGGTGGGAGGCTGGCCAGGAACTGCTCCAGGATCAGCAGCTCCAGGATCTGCTCCTTGGTGCGTCTCTCCGGCCTCAACCATTGGCAACAAAGCTCCTGGAGCTGGCTGTGGATCCTCCGGGGGTCTCCCACTTCCTGGCAGCAAAACTGTCGAAAATGCTGTCGCTGCTTCTCTGTTCTCAGGGCTTCCCCTCGCAAGATGGCGGCCTTGACCTTCCCATAATCCTCTTGGGCTTTGGCATCCAGGCTCCGGAAGGCCTCTTCCACCCCTCCGCTCAGAGCTGGCCGGAGACGGGCCGTCCATTCTCCACGGGGCCACCGGCAGGCAGTGGCCACCTGCTCAAAGGAGGCCAGGAAGGCCTTGGGGTCTTCCCAGGGGGAGGCCTCTGACACCATCACGGGGCTTCCTCCCCTTCCTGGATGGAGCGTCCTCAGGAACTCCTGCCACTGGGCCTCCCAGTGTTCTTCCATCCCCCGCCAAGGCTCCATTTTGATTTTTTGTGATGCTCCACATGCTGGCAGCTCCGTCATATACAGAGGCTGAACCAGACTGGTGGGCTTTCCTGCTCTGTCTTCCGTTTCTGCTTCTGCCAAGGGTTGCTCTTTCATCGCCCGTTCCTCCCGATTCTTTGCTCTGAGGCTCTATAGAGAGAGAGCATTTCAAGGGTCCATCAGTTTCAGCAGAGCATCTTGCAAACATTGAA